CACAGAGCATGGCTGAGACAGCCACCTCATTGCACTCCAATCGAAAGTTCAGGTCTCCATGAGAAGACTTGCTTGAGAACAGCAGTATAAGCTACCAGACAATGATTCTTTGATAACTGGTCTGAGGATTCTGCTGTGGACAGGCAACCTGCTTGAAGGCAATGGGAGTAGTTGTAGCATATTAACCGCATTCAAATTTGGTGGTGAGACTGCTTGAGGAGGCTACTTTAGAGCTGTGGAACAGCTGCCGCCATTGATCTGTATTTTAGCAAAATTGCTGAGTCATTGTTAATAACATTCTTAACTGCTTCAGTTGCTGCTCCCACACTATGCTTGGATGCGGACCTTAGGCCAACACTGTCGAGATGGAAATCCTTAACAGACAATATCTCAATGCTGAAATATTGAAAATGTGCAGATTATGAGATGTGTTTTCAAAACACTTGCTTGAGGAAAGGGGAAGAAGGATAGTGTGGAAGTCACCTGAAAATCCTGTAGCAAGCACTAGGGAATCATGCAATGGTCACATGAACTCCTCGATGGAATTCACTTGGGGGTCATGGAAGACGCTGCAGGAATTGTTTGTCTACCGGGTGACTAGTCCTGTTAGTAGGGTGTAGGTCTCCACCCTACTTCTTAGAATGAACAAGGCCTGAGTGTGTGAGAAACATCATCTCCACTTTACCTTGAAAATGAGACCGGCATGGTGTTGTGTTTTCAAACATCCACTCTTCTTCCCCTGATCCAGGAAGAGAACTGGGTCAGGGGCCATGGACTTCTATTGACTTTTTATTCCTTACCATAATGATCTTGTTACCATGCACCACGTCCTCTACCAAAGGTTCCGTTATGAAAATTTAGGCTAGATTCTGTGGTCCAAGGTCTCCACTCTACTTCCTGGAAATCAGAACAGTGCTTGGCCTTGCTTCCAAGCTCCCCAGTCGAATTCTTGAAAGAAGAGTCCCGCCTTGTGTCAACTGTCTAAGTGCCCACACTACCACCACTTATCAAGAGAAAGACTTGGTGCTGTAAATTACGGTCACCTTTCAATAACTGGAAAAAGGGAAAACTGATGACGAGGGACCAGGTTTGCTGTATGTACAGTTAGCATGACACAAGGTTGGTTCCATGAGCCTAAATTTCTATCATAACTGCTTTAAACTGAGGACAGTCTTGGTGCCGTGAACCGAGTCCTCCGTTCTTCTCCCTTCTACGAGATGACATCTTGGTTCTGCAGGCCAAGCCCTCCCATAGTTCTTCTGGTACCTGGGGCCAAGCTGGGTGTTGTGAGCCTAAGTGTTCAGTCTGGATGTCGTTACCAATTGGATGGTCTTGACCTTGTGGGCCTGGGGCTGACAACTACTTTCTTTGAGAAAGTCCAGAATTGGTGCTGATTTCCGCAGTGTCCATTCGAATTCCTCTTCCATAAAGAAGGATTGTTGCTGAGTGCCTAGGACTCCAGGCAACATTCTTTCAGAGAAGACAGGCTTACAAACATGGGCCCAGGATACTCCTTTAGTCTCTGATGGGCAAAGACAGAAGAATTGCTATGCACCAATTTCTCAGCTCTATTTCCTAAAAATAGGGAAAGTGAATGTAAAGGCAAACCAAGGTCAGTAATCTGGTTCCTGATTAGAAATCCAGGCAGGAGACAAGCCCTAGGTCTCCAGTTAAGATTCTAAGACCTGATGACAGGATTGCCCTGTGGGGTAAGGTCTTCTATCTACTTGTTTTCAGTGAGGAATGCTCTATTGCCATGGGTCCTGATCCCCCTTGTACTTATTGTTAGGAAAGACAAGGTTTGTGCCTTTGGCTTGTGTCACCACTCCAAATCCTGTCAACAGATGACAGTGTTTCTGGATTGAATGGAAGCCTCCATTCTTACATTTGTTCAGAGAAGACAGCCTTGTTTACTGGCCATGCACTTCACATGAGTTTCTTTTCCTAAGTTTTACTTGGGTGTAGTGTGAGTAGTTGTGTCATCTAGTTTGTTATCAATTATATGGTATTGACCTTGGGAGCCTGGGCCTGCACTCTAGATACTGTGAAGAGCATCCAGGCTTGATGTCACAGGCCTAATTCTCCATTCTACTTTTTTTTTTTTTTTTTTTCCAGCACAGGGTTCCTTGCTCTGAAGAAATGATGTGGGCCAATTTCTCAGCTAGATTTCTTGGAAATCATGGAAGGGAATGGAACTGCAAACCAAGGTTAGCATTCTGGTTCCTGCAGGCAGGAGACACAGCCCGAGTTCTCGAGTTAAGATCTCATGCCTAAGGACAAACTTGCTCTGTGGGTTAAGGTCTCCTACTACTAATTTTCAGAGAGGAATGGTTTATTGCCATAGGTCCCAATCTCCTTTGTACTTTTTATTAGGAAAGGACAGAATTTGTGCCTTGGGGTATGTGTCACCACTTCACATTCTTTCAATGAAAAAGTGTTGCTGTTACAAACGAAGGCCTCCATTCTTACTTTGATTCAGAGAAGACTGGTTTGTTAGTGGGCCATGCACTCTACATGAATTTGTGTTCTCAGAGGTACCTTGGATGCAGTGAGAGTAGTTGTTTCATCTAGTCTTTACCTATTAGACTATCTTGACTTTGGGAGACTGAGCCTGCAACTCTATGTCCTAAAGGACAGTCCAGCTTCATGTCACAAGCCTAAGTCTCCATTCAGGTTTTCCCTTGCACACAAACAGGCTTGTTGCTGTGGACCTAAGACATCACTCAACATTTGTTTAGGGAGGACAGGTTTAGAAGCGTGGGCCCAGGCCGCCACTTCAGTCTCTCTTAGGAAAAGACAGAAGATATGCTGTGGGACAAGGTCTCAGCTCTATCTCCTGGAAAGGAAGAAGGGATTGGAACTGCGAGACCAAGTCACCACTCTCGCTCCAAAGAGCAAATCCAGACATGGAACCAAGGTTCTATCTCTCCAAACATATATTCTCACCAGAGGATAGACTGGCCTTGCGGTTTCAGGTCTCCAGTATATTAATTTTCAATGAGGAAACGCTTGGTGGCTTCAGACCATTGTTAGGAAGTGACTGGTTTTGTGTAATGGGCCCAGGTCTCCAGTCTATATCATTTGAAGGGAGGACAGTAGTGTTACCATGAAAGGATGTCCCCTTTCTTTTCTATAACAGTAGACAGCTTTAGTCTCTGTGTAACAGGAGGCCCAGACCGCCTCCTAACTGACCCTAATCGAATGTCGTGTTCAATTTATAAAACTTACTTGAGGTAAATGGTGTCTGTGGCCAGACAATGATCCTTAATTCACTTCAGGTTTTGTTTGTTGTCAGGAAACCTGCTTTATGTCAGGGGAGGCGGCGGCCAGATATTGGCAGTGTTGAAACCTGAGGCTGAGTGTGCTGTGAGGTAGCGACTGGATCACATTGCAAACAAAAGCCTCACTTTACTGTTTTGCAGGTAAAATGGAGAATCATTTTTGGAGATACCACTTCATGATGGAAAGAATGGCTGCCTCAGAATTCCTCTATAGCAAACCTCAACTCTACAAATTCTTAGAGGGACTGGCTTAATGACCATACAAACGAAGCTGAGATATTCACATTGAGGCACTTCATTCAATGTGTTCTGGAAACCCATGGTTTAGGCCAGCAGAGAAAAGAGGTGGAAGTCATTTAAAAATCTCATAGCAATAAAACCAAAATCTTGCAATATTCAAGTGGCTGCCCAACGAGAATCATGTGACCATCAAGAGAATGGCCAGAGGGCATCACAGGGAGATCACGTGACATTGGATGATGATGTAGCACTCACTTTTGATATACTCTTCTACATTTCTTGCTTAAATTCACATAAACACTGAGAAAAGGAGTCCACGTGTCACGAACATGGCTGAGATAGCCACCTCATTGCACTCCAATCGAAAGTTCAGGTCTCCATGAGAAGACTTGCTTGAGAACATCAGTGTAGTCTATCAGACAATGATCCTTTGATAACTGGCCTGAGGATTCTGCTGTGGTCAGGCTACCTGCTTGAAGGCAATGGGAGCGGCTGTCGCACATTAATCAAGATGAAATTTGGATAAGGAATCTGTTTGAGTAAGCTACTTTAGCAGTGGAAAGAGCAGCTGCCATTGATCTGTATTGCAGCAAAAATGCTGAGTCATTGTGAGCATAGCTCTTAACTGCTTCAAGTGCGACTCCCACACTATTCTTGTAAGCGGACCTTAGGCCACTACTGTCTAGACGGAAATTATTAATGGACAATACATCAATGCAGAAATATTGAAAATGTGTAGATTATGAGACATGTTTAAAAAGACTTGGTTGAGAATAGGGGAAGTGCAGTGAGGTGGAAGTCACCTGAAAATCACATAGTAATAACTAGGGAATCATGCGGGGGTCACGTAAAAACCTCGCTGGATTCTCATGAGAGTCCTGGAAGATGCCACGGGAATCATTTGTCTACCGTGTGACTAGTCTTGTTGACTGTGGGCGTAGGTTTCACTCTACTTATTAGAATGAACAAGGCTTCAGTGTGTGAGAAACATTTTCCTCTCTAGATTACTTTGAAAATGAGACCCTTCTGGAGCTGCGGTCAAACAGGCTGCTGCTCAGAACCGGGCCCTCAAGGCCTCTGAAGAGCAGAAGTGAACTGTTCATTGGACGTCGCCTTCTTCAGGGGAGGCTGAGCCTCCAGATGGCACGGGCTCTGTAAAGGGGACTATAGATGCTGTCAGTGTCGCCTCTTGTGTGGTTTCCTGGTCTTGCTCTAGACCTGGTTTGAAGATTCAAGAAGGGACATGTTATCAGCATCAGTCCCTCTGATGGCCTTGCAAACAAGGGGAACCTCTCATATCCATCAATGAAGTCTCAGCTCAAGAACCCACCCCAGGAAGTGGTCTCGAATGCAGACCTTAGGGACGGTGGTCTGAGTCAACTTGGTGTCTGGCCTAACTCGGCCTTGGAAGACCCCTCTGTGTGGTCCGGCCAAGGCCCCCACCCTCGCAGGCCACATTCCCACCAGAGTTGTCCTCACCCTCCGTCTCTGCTTCATGGGGCTGAAGGTCCTTTAGTTCTGAGAGGAGGAGCTGGGCCTGGTGCTCCAGGCTGGACCCTGGGAAGTTGACCTGGATGTAAGCCAGCAAAAGCCTCAGGCAGGGGAATTCTGGGGGCTGGAGAAAGTTATCATGGTGTTGGTCAAACCAGATGCCAAGGATGAAATAGATGGCCCTGTGGGGAGACAGGTGAGCAATAGAGTCTGAGGCCTGGCCTCTCCTTCCACACTGCCTTCCCATAGCACCGTGTGGGGGTCTGGGTCTCCGTGCCGCCTACTCCAGCCCATCCAGAAGTCAGTCCTACTCCTCTTGGACCTGTAGCCTGGTAGTGCTGGCAGAGATGTGCCGGGTCAACCAGGAGGGTCGAGCGGAAAGCTTTTGGAACTGAGAGCTGTTGGTCAACGGTGAGGGGGAGCTGGGCTGACCCAGTCCCGACCTCCCTGGTGCCTGCCCACCACACCTCAGCCCCTCCACAGCTCTCTGACTCCTTCCCTCTCCTCTAGGAAATACTCTCAGCCCTCACCCCCTTGCAGAAACGCCATGACATGTGGGGTACAGGGTTCTGCTGGCACTTCCAGTCCATAGTCTCTATACCCAGCTCACGGCTCTGTCCTAAGCCCACTTATCCTTTCACCTGGTCCAGGGGTCCACCATCCCCTTCAGAAATTGGGACGATGCAGCCATACCTACAGGGGGCTAGGAGGATGTCACACTGGCTGTCCTGTGGACACGAGCTACTCCGTGCCCGCACCTGGAATGGCTTCTCATATATTTGCCAAATAGATGAGCCCCCACCAGTCCCTTTATGGATATCTTTTGAGTGAGCCTGGCCCACTTCTCATCCCTAGGATTTCTACTCTGGCTTCATCCAGAACAGGAACCCCATGGAGTCACAAACCTCCTTTTCACATGAAAAAACAGCTTGGCCCAACCCTGGAAACAGTGAGGAGTCAGGTAGAGGCATCGTCATGCGGAAGAGAAAAATGCCCAAGTAGCACTGTCATAGCTTAACCACACACCACCACCCCCCCGCCGCCCTGCCAGCCCCCAAGGACCTCTCCACAGGGACAGGCCCCCAGAAAGCACTTTGCTAGGGAGGACACCACTAGTCCCTACAATGACCCTCTGAGGCTGGTCCTCTGCTCACCTTGCCGTCCAGAGGAGCAAACAGACTCAGAGATGCAGTGACCTGAGAACTCACACTAGCAGGTGGCTGAATGAACCCTGCGTTGCGGGGGATAGGTGGAGGCAGGGTGCTCACCTTGCACACAGGGTAGCCAACACCCGCTGCATGGTGGAAATGTTTTGTAACTGCCTAGGAAGGCGGGAACGAAGGTGGGATCACTGTCCAGGAAGGCAGGCACCAGGGAAGCAATCAGACTGTCCAGCCTGCGTGCCCAGGCAGATGGCACCATGCTTGTCTTATATTGTTAGTTCCTCAATTCACTTTCTCCCTGAAGTAGGATAGAGGAGGGACATGCAGTCAAAGGTAGCGCCATGAGCCACTGTGAGGATTGGGGATTGCAGCTCAGAACACACTTCCAAGCCCTCAGTAATCGATGGCAAAAGGGGAGACATATGTGTTCCCAGGAGAGAAAAAGTTCTTGGCATTCAAATAGAATTTGAGCTGGGGAGTGTTTTGACATATTGGTATCTGAGGTCGTTTTCTTGGCTGAGTTTGGACAGCACCTCCCCATATTGAGCGTCATCCCTGTGATGTTTGACCAAACGTCCCACTCTAGGATGAGAACATGGAGGTTTCTCCTGGGATGAGAGGGATAAAGATACCAGGACATGTGGGATGTTCAGGGCAGCACCACTGAAATGGCAACAGAAGGGGAGCGGGTCAAGGTGAACAGGTGCATCGCTGTAGTAACAGGTCCCTTCCTGTTATGTCCTGCAGCTGTGTGTCCTGGAGGGCTCGTGGGGATGTGTCCCCAGGGCAGCAAGTGGCAGAGCAATGGGCATGTCACATGAACCCCATGTCCTTTTGCATCACAGTACCCCTACAGATCATGATGATGTCTACGACTGCCGGGCAGGGGGGCGCAGGGAGAGTGTAAGGATCCAGAGGCCAGCACCAACACCGGGGGTGGGCATTCAAACAAGAGAATCTGTAGAATGACACAAATATACTCTTGACTGAATGTGAGGAGAAATGGTGTCAACATCTCTTTGCTGGGATCCCTACAAATATGTGGACAGTGACTTTGCATCTGTCCCAGGAAGGGGCTGCACAGTGAGGGCAGGTGGGAGAGGGGAGGGGGACCCAGATTCCTTTGGGGGCTGGACTTTAGGAGGGAGTCCAGGGGAGCAGCACTGTGACTCCTGGAACCCAGGACCCCCTGACTGTCTGGGTCCTGGGTGTCAGGTCAGCTCAGCACCTGCACTCACCCTGAGCCCTGGCTGGGCTGTCTCAGTGCCGTGGGGTGCCTGCCCGTCCTGGTGGGGGACAGAGTTGAGGTCCTTGTCCTTTAGCCCCTGTCTGATGTCCAGCATAGAGCTCTGTGAAGACAGTGCCCGGAAGACAGAGAGCTTCAGAGCCCAGTCCTTGCCGTCCTCAGACCCCCTGACTCTCCACCCCAGACATAGCCACGCAATGGTCTTCCCAGACCTCCTCCAAGGGTGGAAAAGATGTGACAGCCTGAGGGGCCCTCAGGAAGCCCCCTCCACCCTGCCAGCCTTGTCCTGGGGTGTGATGTGACAAGACCATCAGAGTATTCCCTGCCCAGCAACTGTTTCTGCCCAGAGGGTCCTCCCTTCACGTCCACCATCCCCCACATTGAGGACGGGGATGCCTAGGGTGTGCTCACAGAGGTGGCCTGGCCTAGAGAGGCCTGACCAAAGTCTCCTTGTATTTCCCGAGGGGACCTTCTCCAAAAGGGCCAGAGGTGCCTACACCATCTGGAAAAGTCACTGTGTCGTCTCTGGAGGCCAGAGCCCTGGAATGTGGGAGCACAGCAAGAGAACATGTTGTCTTACTGAGTGCCTCTTGCCAAGTGAGCTGGCTGAGGGGCTGTTACTGGAATGTTGGTGCCTGGTAATGGGGTTCCAGGTTCTATGGGGGTGGTCTGTTGAAAAGGAAGTGACCTCACTTCCTGGGATCCCCCTCCCTGCATCCTCTCCTTGAGTAACAGCTATCCAAATAGTCCTCTGGGCTGCTGCCTGTCATTCCTCTTCTCCACACAATGCCTGTACATGATGAATCCAACACACCCTGCTCCAGGGTTCCTCTCTAGGAACATCTGGCTGCAGCCAAGGCCCTGGCATTGAGGAGACAGACCTGGGTTGTGACCAATTCTTCACTCTTAACTCTTCTGGACCCCAGATGAGCCCAGTACCTTGCAGGGCCTGTCTGTCTCCCGTTTGCCTGCAGGAGTTACTTGAGCACGTGCTTCATCAGGATGCTCACATGTGTGTGGGGAGACAGCTCTAACACTGGAGGGCTGCTGTCACATGCAGATAGTGCCTCTTTTCTCTTCCTCTAGTCACCTGTGTATGCGTTCCTCTTCCGACATCTGGTCCTACATCTAGCATGTGTGTGTGCACACACACATGCCAGCGTGCACATCACGGGTCCCAGGAGAAGACAACCCCACGCACTGAGAACAGGCCGGAGCTTCCCAGCGTATTAGGCTTTCTAGTTTCCAAACCAGCCCTATGGGAGCGAACGACTACACTGTTAGCCTGGAGGTGGGAGCTCTGCTGACCTCTGGACTCTGCCTGTCATACACCCTGGCCAGTCCCTGCCTCTCTGTGGGTCTCAGTTTCTCAACTGTCCAATAAGGGTGAGATTCAAAACAGCAGAAATGTGAGCTCA